ATGCCTCAGGGCATTTTGAATTTGCTGTCTGTGCTTTCTAGTTGTGGTTTCAAATGTGAGCCCTCAGCTGTTCCTACCAACAGGGCAGCCACACCTCCCACCATGATGGTGATGGGCTCTTATCCCTCTGAAACTAAAAGCCCCAAAAAACGCCCTTTCTTTCATAAGTCCCTGTGGTATTGGTGGTTTATCACCAAAGGAGAAAGGAACTAAGACAAAACCGGGTGCCAGGAGCGGGAAATTGCTGTGACAGACCTGACCATGTGTCTTGCAGAGGAGTGTGGTGGCATTGGAACTTTGGGGTGGAAAAGCTGCTGAGTGGTAAGAGCTCAGTGGTTCCTCTGTGAGAGGAAGGAAAGAAAAGTGGGAGCAAGGCAGATGGTGGAGGACTTCCTTGGGAAGGCTCAGAGGGAAGCAAAGACTCCACCTGAGTCACTTTGGGATGTTTTGAATTAATAATCTATGGTGTCTGATCGGCAGGAGCAGAAGAATGGCTGTGATCAGCCAGAGATCTCCCACACACAAGTGAAACCACTGCTTCCCTCAATCTGTGCTGGTTAACGGGAGCTGAGGAATTAGCAGTGATTGAAAGGAGACCAGAATCACCGAGGTATAGACTTCCGTGAATGCTCCCTCAGGCTCAGCACACAGACGCTGAAGTCCAGAGGGAACTGAGGCTGCATCCCATGCGTTTATCTCAACTTAGTAATGTGTAAGAGCCACCCAATTGGTGCTAGATTTTATGTAAGTTTTATTAGATTTATTCCTGTTAAGGTGAGGGATTTGGCTGTGTGTATGTCTATGCACTGTGTGCTTGGTGCCCACAGAGATCAGAAGATGTCATCAGATCCCCTGGAAATGAAATTAGAGATAATATAGTTTTGAACTTCCATGGTACTGGGAGTCAATCCCTGATCCTTTGCAGGAGCACCAACTTCTCTTAACCACTGGACCATCTCTCTAGTCCCTAAGGCAGTGCTGGTTTTGAAGGTATGAAGAGATCTTGAATGACACCAACTGGCATTAAGGCTACCCTAAATGTCCTCCCATGATAATGAGAATGATGACTTCCTTATATGCCATCCTAGAACTCTCATCCAGTGGCTGATGGAGGCAGAGGCAGACGCCCACAGCTGTGAACTGAATTGAACTCCTGGAACCCAGATGTAAAGAGGAGTGATGACCAAAGGAATCAAGATCAGGCTGGCGAAATCCACAGAGGCAGCTGACCTAAACAAGGGGGAACGCATGGACCACAAACTGATCCAGACATCCCTCCTACCAAACCTGGGTGACAGAGAGGAGGCCTTGGCAATCTCTGGGACCTTAGAGAGTAGAGCAGTATTTATTAAACCTGGCATATAGATGGACTCTGGGAGCCCACTCCACATGGAGGGATATTCTCTCAGCCTAGGCACATGAGGAAGGACCTAGGACCTGCCCTGGATGAAACGACAGACTCTGGAATTCCCCCAAAGGAGGGCTTCACTCTCCCTGGGAAATGATGTGGGGATTGGGTGGGGGGCTGGAGGGGGCTGGTGGAGAGACATGGGAGGAGGAGTGGGAGAGGGAGCTGAGATTGACATGTGAAGCATGCATATTTCTAATTTAAATAAAAATTATATTGACAAAAAAAAGAGCATCAACTGCTCTTAACCACTGGACCATCTCTCTAGTCCCCAAGGCAGTGCTGGTTTTTGAAGGTATGAAGAGATCATGGAGAGAAGCTAAGGCTGGAGCAGGACTGGAGCCCTGAAGAAAGACCATGGATGTGGGTGTAGCCTCAATTGCAAAGGAGACCCCAGAACATTGGAGACACCAGTACCATGTGCAATCACTGCCAAAGACAGCTGCATATGTGAGTTGGGGCCTGATCTGAGACTATGACGTGAGCTATTTGTTCTGTAGAATGCAGAGGCCAGGAAGTGGAGCTCCCTGTACAGGTCCCTAAGTTCAAAGAATTATACATGGGTCCCAGACAGCAAGCACTATTTACACTGTTGAAGTTCATTTGTGGCTTGAGTTTGTTGTAATTGTGCCCTGGTTCCTCCTATGTGGAGAAGGAAGTGTTTTACAGGGTTTTTCTATTTCACAAGAGCCCACATTTGAGCATCTATGAACTTTGAAGGAGACATTGGGTTTTAAAAGCGACCATGATTTTTTAGTGTTGGAATTTTTTAAAACTGTGAGAACTTTAAAGTTCTTTGGGTTTTATGTTGTCATACTAATGTCAGCCTGGCAGCTGGGGAACAAATAGAAAGGAAAGGCTATGGTTTAATACTGGTGTGTCTGGGCATGGAGTTGATGAGTGGTTCTTTGTGCTGGATGGTTTTATGTCAGCTTAATAAAAACCTAGGCCTCTCTGGGAAGGAATCTCAGTTGAGGGATTTGCTCCATCAGACTGGCCTATAAGCAAGTCTGCGGGTCATGGTCCTGATTAGCTGGTGTGGGAGGACATGACGCATTGTGGGCAGTACCACCCGTGTGCAGTTGATCCTGGGAGGTATGAGAAGGTTGGCTGGGCACATAGGAGGAGCAAGCCAGGGAGCAGGTCTCCTCCCTCAGGGCTTCTGATTCTCTCTCTCCTTCCGTGCGCATGTCTGGAGATTGCTACTTGGCTTTCTCCTATGTAGGATGAAATAAGCCCTTTTCTCCCCCAACTTTAATTGGGTCAGTTTTTTTATCAAAGCAGCAGAAACCAAACAAAACCCAATTCTCATGATGAGCAAGGAACAGTGAAGTTATTTCAAATAGGATCAGTGAGGCTGTAAAAGAAAATCTAAGACACAAATTTATGAGAAACAAGAAGACCCTATGTGGGAATGGTGTGACTGTTTCTGTAGAAGGAGTCTAAAAACAAAACCAGAACTGAGAAATGACGTTGCCAAGACGCCACACTATAACACAATCTCCATCATGATGTGGCCAACCAAGTAGAAGGGACCCTAAAGCAAAATGGTTTCCTCCCCCTGATTTCCTGTAACCCCCTGTTAGTGTCTCCAGCTCTCCTGACGCTTGTGTTAAGTGTTCACTGTACCAGCTATCCCTGTTCAGTCTACTGTGTGCCCCACCTCCTGATCTCTTACTTACATATTATTACAAGAGTGACGCATGCCATGAGGAAGCCCAAATGGAACAAGGTGGAGAGCAACTAGGAGGACAAGGGGCTGGCAATTTCCATGGAATTGCCCAAGGCAGCTGCCCAAAGAGGACATTCAATCACACAATTGAAGGAAGGGAAGGGAATGAGACATGAGTGAGGAAGTAGAAGAGGACTCCAGGTGGGAGGTCCATTCAGTAGAGGCTGGAAGAGGTGACTGAGACACCAACAGACTGGGGGGGGGGGGGGGGGGGGGGGATGGCCAGAGGCCAGGGCAAAAGGAGGATAGAAGAGACAGTGATGAACAGTAGACCATGCAAGCGACTTTATGCTTACTGTGAGTAAAATGGGGAGAAGGGGAGTGTGTTGACACAGTGAGAGCATGACAATAACCTCTTTTTTTACATTTTTCACAAATTTAGACGTTTGCATACAGAATAATGAGTTTATCTATGGTATATTCATGTGCGTGTGGGTTGTTTTGTTCTAATGTGTAGTCTATTGACAAGATCCTTCTCTGTGATCACCCAGGAAGAAGTGAGGAAGTACATAAACCTGGAGCTGAGACTGCAGGCAGGCCCTTCCATGACTACTGACTGCTATGTGTACTTCTGCCCAGAAACCTATGGTCTCCTGGCTCCATGACATGATATAGAAAAAGGAGAATGGTTCTCCATGCTAGGGTGAGACTGCTCAGTGGTGGGTCAAATTTGGGATCACTCATAACCATTCAGAAACCTTTCCCCATGTCTCACAAGTAACCAAGACACAGGCATTTGTTGGCAAAGATAGTCAAGGATCTAAATGTACTTAAGGCTGTAACTGCATGTCTGTATAGAATGAGTAGAGAATGCTCATGTCTCCCAAGAAAACCTTACACAAGTCCCATTAAATGACATGAATATGTCAACCTGTCATACCAAAGAGACTCTGTGCAGGACAGATGGAGGGCACAACTACATATAAAAGGTCATATGTCATGTCAATGCACACCATGAGCAGGATGTTATCCTAGAGACCAACCCATGGACATTTCACCCTGGTCATGGGGGGTCCTCCATTCCTCATTCAGAGAGCACATCCACTGTGGCTGTCAAGCTATAGCTGGCCATGTATGGGGCCAGGGGAAGATGGACTGACCCTTCACAGCACACCTCTCAAGTCATGGTGGGCTGGCCTTCAAGAACCCTCTCTATAGTCCAACTCCAAGATGTCCTGAGTCAAGTCTTCAAAGCTTCCTCTTCCCTAGGAATTTGGGAAGGTGGTACAGGCAGGAGCTGGCTGTATTTTGTTTGTGAATAATGTACCCAGGTAAAGATACCTGGTGTGAAAAGCAGGACACTGTCTCTGGCAACATGAGTGGAGACAGGAGGAGGTCTTCGCATCCTTCTATCTGGTTTTGGTGTCACACTGTGTTTGTTCTTCTCATTCCTGCACATTGGGTTCTAGGCTTGGATCTCTCTGCCCCTACAGGGCTTCAAAACTGGGACAACTATTTCATAGATACACTGAATACTTCTCCAGATATTCTGCTCTCCTCACGTTAAGAGACAAAAATTATGACCTCAAACTGAACAACCATCACTCATCACCAGGATCAGAACACTAGACACAACTACTAGTAGAGATCCACATAGGCAACCTATGCCTGCCTCCCTGTGACACACTCAACCCTTTCTCTTGCTCTAGTTACCACAGAGGCAGAAGCCCTGTCCACACTGCACATGTCTGGGTGGCCTGCTGCTGTGCCTTGTGACCCTGCGTGTCCTGGGTTGCCCCCTGTGGGGAACTATGAGCATGAAAGCACATCTTTCCTTCTCTAAGATCATGCTCAGCTCTGATATTCTACCCTCACCCGATTAGCCCACAGCTGGGGCTCATTAGACTTGTACACATTTTCCCAGAGATAGGACCAGATTTATTAAAAGAAGACAAATGGTGCAGTCTGATCAATGGACTCTGTCCTCCAGTGACAACAGGAGTCCTGAATCCAGGTGAAGGGAGCAGGTGATCAGTTCCTGATAGTTGAGTCATCTCTACAGAGCTTGTTCCATGCACTAAGATTCTCAGATCACTCACAGGAATCTGTTTGTAGAAACAGAAAGACACAGAGGGCTCTAAAAAGTGCTTCTGCCATGATGTCTTACAGGAAAATACGGACACAAAGAAGGGAAATGAGGAAAAACCCAATGTCTACCGTCACAAGCAGGGCTGAAGATGTGTGTTCTGTTCAGGCCTGTATTCACCACAAACGATTCATACAACCTCACAGATTGTGGGTTTGCAACTAGAGAACGACCTGTAGGACAGAAAGGGTGATGGTCTGTTAGAATGAAAGGCCCCAATCCATACAGGATAGGAAACTGTGTTTGAGGAAATGAGATCACCATGCTTCCTGTTGGATCATACAGATCCTGAGAAGACTCAGGACAGGAATCGTGAGGCCCCAGTTCAAACCTCCTGTAAAAGAGGCCATCCAGGTGGGAGGCGTCAGGAGGGAATCGCATGAGGTTTGGGACAAGTGTCACCTGAGCAGACGGGTCTGATGCAGGGCTGGGTCACTCACACAGGCTTCTGAGCAGAGGTCTCCCACACCCACAGCTCTGGGGAGCAGAGGACAGGTGCTGAATTCAATGCACAAGCACAAGCTGGATACAGCCTATGCCCTCTCCTAAAGGAAAGTGCGGAGTTTCACAGCTGGGGCAGCATGAGGGGGTCAATGGAGGGTTCCACCAATGACTGTAGGCATCCATATATTCATTGTGCTCTAAACCTCTGGAGGCAAGCCAACATCTGCCAACATACCCTTGAGTAGCCCATCCCCTGCCACAAAGCCATATATGAAAGAGAGCACCTTTTGTTCTCGCATACTTCAGGCCAACAGTGATATTTGATGTAGAAGAGGAAGTCATAAAAAAACCTAGCAACACACAGATGATCTTGGCAGCACTGGGACTTGGAGTGTTGGTCATGATGTGTGGGTAGGGCAGGAAGTCATTTGGCCTAGGTCTGTACAGTCTGTGCTGTGACACGTCATGGACATTGTTAAAGTGACTTGGCTACAGAACCTGCATTGAGGGCAGGGGAGAGACAGGGGTGGTTGGGAAGGTTGCTGTGGGGTACAGGAAGGAAGCAGCACTGTGACACACAGTTGGGAGGAATCCTGGGAGCAGAGTGGCTGTAGAGAACCAAGAGAGGTGTGAAGTATAGTCAGAACTGCAGAGCCGATGACACACATGAGGCTCACAGTGCTTGGGGACTGTGGCAGGTGAAAGTCATGTCTCTTCCCATCACTGGTGAGCTCGGACTCAAGTACTCTCCATGTGTCCCTTAGTGTCCAGATAAATCCTGTGAGAATGAGGACAGAGACACTAGACCCTGACAAATGCTGTCCCCTGACATGTGACTGACAGCTCTCTCTTGAGAAATACACACTTGGCATGGGAGGATAGGAGAGCAAGAGAATGGGGGGAGGTGATATGTAAAAATAAAATTGTTTATAAAATAAACAAAAAAAGAAATACGCTCTTGAATATTTTTCAACCTGTTTGATAGTTTCAGTAAGTTTTAAGTTTTCTGAAGGGAAGGCAAAGAAAAACTGAGTTTTTCTCTCTCCCCCAGCACTGCCTAAATCTATAGATTGACTCTCCCTTCAGCTGTTGTCTCTCCTCTTTCTTTTAATCAGGCACTGGGCCCTGACTGCAGGGCATCTCAGCTGTCTGATCAGACAGGAGCAGGGTATGTGCCATAGGATGCTCAGGAGAACTTGGGATCCTCGTGCTTGGACCCCACAGCTGGCATAAGGACAACACCACAGTCTCAGAATGGAACCAGTGCTCCCAGTATCAAGGGATCCCACTAGAAGTCTCTTAAGAGAAAGATAACAGTAACAGGCTGAAAAGAGAAAGAAGGCATCAGAGCTGGGAGTGTAGAGACTAAAATTGGAGCGTGGGCCTCAGGACTGGTCATCTGATGATGAATGAGAAAAAGAAGGGACAAGAGCTTGTAAATAATTCTCCCACAGATCCCCAAAATTGCAGGAATTGTCCCAGTTGGAAACTAGAAAAATAGGGTAGGAAGAACCCACTCTGGACCCGTCAGCTCACAAGTTCATGGACAATGCTCACAAACTCACACACCCATGAGCATCGTCATTACGTAGGTGGGATGTTTAAAGTTATCCTTGTAGTAGGCCAGGGCGAAATCCTCTGTGATCAGGAAAAAGATGCCAATGTAGTGCTTTGACCCTGTGGACAAGAATGAGTCATATGCTCATGGGGTATCTTTAGAGGTACCTATGAAAAAAACAGAAATATGGTTGTGAGCACTTACAGGCTTGAAAGAAACCAGGGTATTCGGGGAAATCATCCATGTACTGCTTGAACAACACACATCCGATGGGTTTCCTGAAATACAAGATAAAATAATAACTCTAATTGGGGTATTTTCCTGCCATTCCCAGCACACATCATGGGCCCAGACAATTAGATCAGCATTCCATCTAAATACATGAGATTCAGACAGCAGCCTCAGAAATCAACTGGTGACAATCCTATACCCTCTCTGTGTGCTTCAAGTGGCTCTAGGAGAAGGCAGGTAACAGACACTGGTGCAAAAATGACGAGCAGCCCAGCATCCGTTCAGGACATTCTGGAACCTCAAGCACACCTGAACATTCCAAACACGGGCTGCACACACAACCTGAAGCACAAAATGGGTCTCCAAAAACATATCCTACATGACAGGGTCCTGGGCCAACATATGACCCACCTTGGTTTTTCAATAGCACAGAAACCAGGAGAGTCTTAAGGACTGATCCTTGAGCGAAAATGAACACAGCCCTTATGCAAATATGCTTAGCTCAGTGTCCCTGTGAGCATCATTCTTGTCATTACTGAAGATACCTGGTACATTGCACATACAAAACAAAAGAAATCCATGATGACATGGAGAGGTAACTAAGATCAGGAAGCATCTGTGATGGATAAGGGGAAGATGATTCAGTCAAGAGCAGAGACAGGAAGGACCCTAAGAGAGATATGCATGGTAACCCAGGGAAGGTGAAATGATCTCCTGAGCAGATTGGGAGCACAGCGAGGAGAGGAGAAGGAGCCAGGAAAAAGAGACGGGGAGAAGAGGAGGAGAGAGGAGGACATGGGGGAGCAGGAAGGTTGAGTTGGGGGAAGAATAGAGGAGAGCAGGATGAGAAATAACCATAATAGAGGGAGTCATTCTAGGTTTGAGGGGAGATCTGGCACTAGTAAGAACTCCAGAGATATACAAGGATGACACCAACTGGCAAACTAAGCAGTAGTGTAGAGACTACCTTAAATGCCCCTCCCTGATAATGATTTTGACGACTATCTTATATACCATCCTAGAACCTCCATCCAGTGACAGAGGGAAGCAGAGGCAGACACCCACAGCTAAACACTAAACTAAACTCCTGGAACCCAGTGACAGAGAGGGAAGAGCGATGGGCAAAGGGGTCAAGACCGGGCTGGTGAAACCCAGAGAAACACCTGACCTGAACAAGGGGGAAATCTTGAACCCCAGACTGATGGCTGAGAGGCCAGCAAGGGACTGATCCAGACCCCCTGAATGTGGGTGTCAGTGAGGAGACCTAGGTAATCTATGGGGCTTTGGGTAGTATTTATCCCTGGCATACAAATGGACTTTGGGTGCCCATCCCACAATGAGGGATGCTATCTCAATCTGGACATTTGGGGAGGGCTTGGGCATTCCCCCAGAACGAAATGACAGGCTATAGAGATTCCCCATGGAGGGCCTTACCCTCCCCAGGGAGCAGAGTGGGGATTGGGTGGGGGGCTGAGGGGACTGGTGGGTAGAAGCAGGCATGGAGAGGAGGGACAGGAAGCTGGGACTGACATGGAAAGCCAGCCTGTTTCTAGTTCAAATATATAATAAAAAAAAGTGTTTCAATAAACAAAAAGAGCAGAGACATCAGCCTGGATGCACACACTTACATGATCTTCATCCTGAACTCCAACTTCCCAATAGCATTAATGACAAAGGTGAAGGGTGGCAGTGGGCTGGACTTCTTCTTTGCAGGAATAGGCAGGTTTCCAGCCCAGTGAGTTATATACCACTTCCCTAGAAGCTAGAGGGGAAGGCATACCTGAGTCAGGCTTTGAGGTCAAGAGAAGCCAGGAAAAAAGGTTCCGATGTTGGAGATGAAGTGGGATCAGAGGCTAGGAGTGTCTTGGGGAGCATCGTAATGCAGACTGGAAGGATAGGAGGAAACCTAGACATTATTGGGTCTTCTCCACCATTTTCAGGCAGAGTCAGGCAAGCAGCAGTACGGGGTCTTCCGAGAGATAAATACCTGGAAGGGACTCTATCTTGTGTCCTTCACAAGGTCCTGCAAAAGGAGCTAAGAAAAGTCACCCAGAGGATGAGACATGCTATAGAGCAAACAGAGGTCAGAGTGAGTCAGTCATGGATGGAAGATTCCACCAAGCATGCAAAGACTATGGAATCAATTTTGGCCACAGTCTCCCCACTCACCTGTCAACTGAACATGGGTTCAGTACCTGTTACCCCCATGTACACAGTCAGGGAGAATCCTCCAAAGACCTGAGTCACCAATGTTTTCATACAACCAATTAGTACTACTGTCTCTGTCCCTACCTTGACACAATGGCCTCAAAGACCTTCCTTAGCATATGACTGTCACCTCAGCACCTGCCACCCCTTAGTCCTGACCCCTAGGACCCACACACCCTTGCCCTCCTTGTCTCCAATGCACAGGACCCAGGTGAGACTTGCGGTGGGAGGTTTTCCTGCATGTGAGCAGGACAGGCAGGATGAAAACCAGACACTTGGTGTGGAAAGGACAGACAGTGGAGCTAGGTCTCCAGACCTGGGTGGCAAAGAGCATGAGCTGCCGCCGGCCAGCTCCCTGATTGGAGAAAACACCTGGGGTCTCTGTGAGTAAGCTGTGTGACCATGGTGGATGACTCAATTAACTGGAGTTGTACCTAGAGGGAGACAAGGTGCCTAGACACCAGCCTTGGTCCTGGGACCCATTTGGCACAGATGTTCCTTGGCTTCCAGGACAAATATGTCAACGAACAGGAAAGGCACAACCAGGCGCCTCTGTTCATCAGTGACAGTGCAAAGGAGAATGGCTGACAACCTTAGGACCTTCACATCTTCTCATGAGGAGATCCCATAAGTTAATAAGCACACCTCTCGGGAAATCCATCCCTCCTGATCTTCCCTCCCAGCAGTGCTCAGCCCTAGCAAACAGCTGGGCTGCATCCGTGCACACCCTCCTGCGTGGACTTTCACTGAGAACAGAAATTCCGAAAAGACTCAATTCTTTGATCTGAAAAAAGGTTCTCCAGAGTCACAGGCTGACAGAAGAGGTGCTGCACACAGTGACAGAGTGGGGAGCCAGATAACTCTACAAGCCACACCTCTGCCTGTGGATGCCATTCCCTGTGGGGAGCTGAATGATGATACTGGAGGTCATAGCCCAGAATTAAGCCCAGGGACTGACACAGAAGTCCCCGTGGGCCCATCAATGACCTCAGACACTCACCCAGTTGAAGTTCATGACCCAGGAACCCCAGATTCCACCCTCAGGGTTCCCAGGGCTCCCACCTTCTCAACGGTGGCAGGAAATGTGTTAGCCCTGTAGGCAGCAGGAATCACTAAATCTTCTTTGTCTATTGCTGCCACTACAGAAAGCAGAGTCAGGCGCATAGACAGCAGGAACAGCTTCACAGTCGCCATAGTGCCTCTGTGCTCCTGGCCTCCCTGGGCCACGTATATCCTGCAAGGGTGACACCCGGCCTCATCTGCACAAAGGCCAATCCATGTGTGGACTGATTGCACTGTTTTGTTTGGATCTCGTGAACACATGGTGCAGGTTTCTGTAATTAACCACCTGCCCATGCTTTCACTCACTCTGAGGCAGACTTGTCAGGAGAGAAAATGTTATCAAAGCGGGAAGCACTGCCTCAGAATCCAGAGCAGGAGGTATACAAGAGCTCCTCAGTTCCCAAACTCTCTATGTCCGGGTTCTAGTCCCACCAAAACCAGTCGCAACACTTCCTCCTCTTCTCTCCCAGAACTACCAGCTCCAGACACAGTCACCAGCTCCTGGCCACATAAGCAGTGATGGATGCAAAGCCCTTCCCCCACCACCACAGCCCCCAGAGTGCTCAACTGTGGTCTCCCCACCACCACACCCTGGTGTCTGTCTTCTGTCTTCACCACGCACTCATGAGGACCCTGCACACACCCCTGACTCTGCGTGTCCTCTCATCCGACTCAGCATCAGGGTTTCTGGACAGCCTCCAAATTCTACCTCACCTCATGTGCTCTTCTCTCTCAGTTCAGACTCCAAGAGTTGGGACTCGCACCTGGCTGGACTCCCATTGGTCCTCTGTTCTATGCCACAGGACAGTGCCAATCCACCACCTTGCTTCTGTGCACATGTGGAGTGTGTGTGTGTGTGTGTGTGTGTGTGTGTGTGTGTTTGTGGGTACGTGCACGCAAGCACAAGTGCACACCTGTGTACAAGTGTAACTGTGCATATGTGTCTGTGTATGTATGTGAGAGAGCACATGTGTCTCAGAGTTTGTGTGCCTGTCTTTGAATCTTGACGTCTCTTCCTGTATATATGAATGTGTGTGTGTGTCTTCGTACCTGTGTGTGTGTGTCTGTCTTAGCATATACAAGGATACGTATATCACTGTGTTTGTGTATTTGTGTCTGTACTTATATGTGTCTGTGGGTGAACCTGTGCCACTGGGACACATATTTTGAATGACTGCTTGTGTACTTCTATTTCTATGTGTGCACCTGTATCTCTGTGTGTTCATGTGGCAGGGTCTGTGAGGATCCAGATCTGTGTCTGTATATGCCAGTCAGTGTGGATTTGTCAGTGCGTGGGATAGGTTCTTGGATTGTATTATAAGGATCTGAAACGACCCTCACAGTCAATATGCTTCAACTCTTGACCACTAGTTGGAGGCAGTTTGTTGCGAACCTATGGTACTGTGGCCTCACTCGAAA